ACAGGAATTCAAATAAGGTTAATATGTTTATTAATTTTTTTTTAGAAATACAAGGAAAATACTATTTACCCAAGTACTCCGGTCTGTTTTTGTGACTAATTTCGATTGAACTAGGTAGTGGCTTCCGAGCTATTCAAAAGAGTGTCTATATCAGTGTTCTTTTTCCGTTTTATTCATTATTTACACTAAATACGACGTTGTGTCATAAAACGTTTGATACTTGGTAATTATTAATTTATATGTATATTTTTTACAAGAAAAAAATAACCATAATTGAAGTCATTTTTCAAAAGTATACTTTTAACTGACATAACCGCATTAAAATTATTAAAATTTCTTATACCATCATATGACGAATGTGGGTTCTAATTATACAATAACTTTTAGATTTTTTTGTTGTTAAAGTATGCTACTGAAAACTGCTTTACTTGCTCTACTATTACATAGATAATCATACTCCGATAAGTATATTTCAATAGTTTTATTTAGAATCGCTTGGAGTCGCTCAAAGAAGCTCTAACTGGCTAACAAAAAAAATCATTAACAGAAGAAATTTTTAAGCAATTTAGTAAAAACGCGTTGTACTATAGTCCGTGATTTGATTTGCTTTCTTCGTTCGTGATAAATTTTAAAAAAGGTATGCAATCCCTGCCTAGCTATTATATTAAGCGATCATTAACTTAAAATAACACCATTCGATCTCTTCTCATTTATTAATTGGATATATCAAAATTCATAAACTTACACGACTTCAGCTTTCGATTTTTAGGTTAAAGGTTTCTTTCATTTCAAGTAATAAAAATTTGTATAGTGATGAAAGAAGTTAAATTTTTATAAAGTCTTCAAAAATTGTATAACGATAAGAATTCTGTCGTAGAAAAAGCTGTATAAAGTATAGTAAGTCTGCTTGACCATATTTTTTCATGACATACTCCCACTCAGTTAATACACGCTCGATGAACTAAGCATATCAAGTACTGAGAAAATGTAAAATAAAAGTTTTTGAGAATTTCAATTAAGTTTACAAAGTACTAAGAATTTCAATCTTAAACTAATCATTTTAAACCACATTTTGCTTGGCTTCCATGGCTGTATCTAATTTATCACCTCAATGGTGCCGTATAATAGTATTTTCTAATACATAAAATATCGTTAATCCATAAAGCATCGTTAGTATTAAAAAATTAGTAATTTTATACTTTTTGAAGCATTACTTAAACTTATAAATGCTGTCTTGGGACTTTGTAATTTTTACTGAACTTCGTATGGTTTTAGAGTATAGATAAAAATTTGTTTTTTAAAACCTCTGTAATAATATTTATATCTTTCTTGCCTTTACTACATTTCTACGTTTATCACTAGAGTCTCGGTTAACAACATGGCGATAGCTGATGATATTATATAGATATAGTATATTCGAACAGAGTTAGTTTAGAAACTTTAAGCCAAAGTATGTGATTTACAATTGAATTTCTGGTGAAAACACAGCCAAGAAAATTTATGCCTATCGGAGTGATTTGTCAACGTACAATCGATAACTGCGAGAAACATTAAGACTACACGATACGTTATAAGTCACATTGTAAAACGCTCCGACAGATATACAGTGCCTCGAGTATGTATGCATAGTACAAAAGAAATATTAGTATAAGACGCACTTACGTATTAGAGAAAGCTTATTTATTTAACCAAAATTTACCAAAATAGTTAATAAGAGCTTTGTATGAAGTATTGCGTAAGTAGTTTTGACTAAATTTTATAGAGTACCTCATTTTTTCTTGTGCTTCTGTAGTGTATTCACTTCATCAACATTCTCATAAATGTATGCGCATAACTTTTTTAGGAAAACGATGCCTCTTTAATTACCGTTAACAGCGATTGGTTTTTATAATTGTCGTTTAATTGTTTAAATATTGATTTATTAATTTTTCTATTTTAAGGTATTGAAAAGCGGCCAAAATGTCGATTTCAGCATTTTTTATTTTGGACATAAGAGGTCAAGTCCTCATCAAAAAGGATTATCGTGGAGACGTTAATATAAATGTTATTGAAAACTTCGTGCTACTTACTATGAAAAGAGAGGAAGAAAACGATTTTTCTCCTGTTATTCGGACTACCGAATGTACCTACGCTTATAAAAAACACAAAAACGTGTACTTTGTTGCTGTTACAAAAAAGAATGCAAATATAACGATGACGTTTGTATTTCTCATGAAATTAATTGAAGTTATGCAAGAATACTTCAATGAACTCGAAGAAGAGAGTATTAAAGACAATTTCGTCATGGTTTATGAACTTTTGGATGAAATGCTTGACTTTGGTTATCCCCAAGTAACAGACACCAACATATTACAAGAGTACATTACGCAGGAAGGCCATAAATTGGAAATTCAGCCTAGGATTCCAATGGCAGTTACAAATGCTGTCTCATGGAGATCGGAAGGAATAAAGTATTCAAGTAATGAAGTGTTTTTAGATGTCATTGAATCCATTAATTTGCTTGCAAATGCCAATGGTAATGTGCTCAGGTCGATGGTTCATGGGTCTATTAAAATGAGAGTTTACCTATCTGGAATGCCCGAATTGCGCTTAGGATTGAACGACAAAGTTCTTTTTGAATCGATGGGTCGTAGAAAGTCTAGATCCATAGAATTGGAAGATGTCAAGTTCCATCAGTGTGTTAAGCTGGCAAAATTTGAAAATAACAGAACAATATCATTTATTCCACCAGACGGAGAGTTCGAGTTGATGTCGTATCGCATGGATTCTTTTGAAAAGCCATTGATTTGGATCGAATCTGTGATCGAGAGACATTCTCACAGAATTGAATATACGATAATGGCACTATCACACTTTAAACGGCGCTCAACAGCACATCATGTCGAAGTTGTTATACCAGTTCCAAGTGACGTGGATTCCCCAAAATTTAAGACAACCATAGGAAGTGTAAAATATTGTCCGGAAGAAAATGCCATGAAATGGTCAATCAGATCATTCCCTGGAGGGAAGGAGTACCTGATGAGAGCAAACTTTGGTTTGCCATCTGTTATTGGTGAAGATGTTGAAGGCAAGCCCCCAATAAAGGTGAAATTTGAGATCCCATATTTTACTACGACAGGAATTCAAATAAGGTACTTAAAGATTATAGAAAAAAGTGGATACCAAGCTTTGCCTTGGGTAAGATACATCACACAAAATGGTGACTATCAGCTGAGAACAAACTAATTCTCAGATTAAATAAAAATATATATTTTCTATTTTTTATCTGTGGCGCACGTAAGGATTTTTATTACCATATAAACTGATGTAATAATATTAATTTGATTTAGCAAAATGTCAGTTCACATGTGCTCGTATGTACATTATTTGTTGTGATGTATAATTTGTAGTTAAAAAGAACATTGTTTTCAAGATTGAAGAACAGACTTNACACGTATATACATATATATGCTGAAGAGCGTGTGTGCGCGCGCGTGTACCACCTACTTTTTGAGAGATCACAGCGGAACGAGATCAGCAGAACGCTGCTGCAGAAGTAAAAGGGAGACGGAGGAGCAGCGGCGAGCGTCGCTCCTCCTGGCGACGACAGCCACCGATACTCCACTCTTAGAGTGGCACTCTAGTGCAAACCAGGGACCAATATATATATATACACATATACATAAGATAAAACAGTAGTGCGAATATATATACATACATATGTATGTATTACTTTAGTGCAGATATATTTTAATGCGTAATATTGTTTTTCGATAAAATACAACTTATCAAAAAAAAAATAAAAGAAAAAAGTTTGAGATGTACTAAATATTGTAATTTTTAGTATGTAAATACATGTTATAAAATTTTAAATGAAGTTTGAATCACGATATTAAATTAATTAATGTTTTTCTTCATTTTCATATAACTTGAAATCAAATTAAAAACCTTCAATGAGAAAAATAATGTAGAAATCAATTATAAAGTTTTAGTTTACATGAAATAAAATGTCATAAGATATTTGCATTAATTTAAATTGTACATGTACTATTTTGAATAAAATTTTTTCAATTTTAATAACTACTACTGACTAATTACGAATAAAATATATAGTTAGTTATATTTCATCTACCACACCTCGCTTTTATAATAACGTAAAAATAAGATTCTAACTCAACTTACGGATTTCAAAATTTGTTTACTACCTTGCATTCTTGCCGAAAATTTGTTAAAATTGTATTGAATGTTAAATAAATTAAACAATAAAATTTCTTCATCGCTTTAAACGAGTTTCTTCCACTCAAAAACTATATGCAGTCAGTCTATATTTATGTAAGTGAATTGCTCTGAATTTTATAAACTGCCACTAAAAAGCATCTTAGCTATTTTACACTGGTCATTTTAGCTCATTCTCATGGGAAGAAACTTCCATTTCTTGGCTAAGAGAAATTGGCGATTCATTGATAAAGGCAGAAAACATACTATCCTCTTTAAGAATGAATGTTTGTAGCTCAAAATATTTTATACTTTATAGTTGAAAAATTGTTTAAAAAACGTCAAAAAAAAGCGAAAAAATTAGAAATGTACTTGGTATATTGTTCTTATATTATTGCAAATGATACACATAAAATCCTGCATTAGGACAGTTTCTTCTTATTTAACTTTGAGAGCCTCTCGTTTGCACCTCTTTTTACATGCCATTCGCATGCTACTATATTTATCTTTTCCTCTCTTCCATATGTATTGTAGTAGCAAAAAAAGATAGAGATGACAGCAACACCGCCTCTTATCCATCACTTACTTTAACGAAGCTCTTACAAAAAAGAGGGAGATAAATAGAGAAGGACGATATGATACCTCTGCCTCTCTCAATCTAGATGGAATAAATTTTTCTAATGTAAATTTTTGTCGTAACTGCGTTCCATCGTAGTTCATTTAATTGCCAGAGAGGCGTGGACGCTCCAATAGATTTTTGTCTCGTAATACACTTAAAATAAATAGTGAAATATGTTCAATTTAAGAAATTATTTTGTTAAACGTCTATTTGGTAAGTATTTTTTGTTTTTGAATCATACAAGATTTATCACTAAAAAAAAATCTGCTTTGTTCGTATCAAAATTGACAAGTATATTTTTGTTCAAGGTAAAGATAAAGGCTCAAAATGTCACTTTCAGCCATTGTTTTGTACAACGTTAGAGGCCAAGTCTTGCTTAAAAAGGATTATCGAGGGGACATCGATAATGATCTCATTGAAAAGTTCTTGGCACTGATCGAAGAAAAGGAAGAAAAAGGTGAATTTTGTCCAATCGTTTACACAGCTAAATGCTCTTACGCTTACCTACAACACCAAAATATATACGTTGTTTCGATATCAAAGAAAAATGTAAATATAACAATGACGTTAAAATTTCTCGTCACATTAGTTGAAGTTATGCAAGAATACTTCAATGAACTCGAAGAAGAGAGTATTAAAGACAATTTCGTCATGGTTTATGAACTTTTGGATGAAATGCTTGACTTTGGTTATCCCCAAGTAACAGACACCAACATATTACAAGAGTACATTACGCAGGAAGGCCATAAATTGGAAATTCAGCCTAGGATTCCAATGGCAGTTACAAATGCTGTCTCATGGAGATCGGAAGGAATAAAGTATTCAAGTAATGAAGTGTTTTTAGATGTCATTGAATCCATTAATTTGCTTGCAAATGCAAAAGGTACTGTTCTCCGGTCGATGGTTCACGGGACCATTAAAATGAAAGTTTTTCTCTCTGGAATGCCAGAATTGCGCTTAGGATTAAACGACAAAATTCTGTTTGAATGTATTGGTCATGAGAAGTCGAAATCCATAGAATTGGAGGATGTCAAGTTCCATCAGTGTGTTAAGCTTTCAAAATTTGAAAATGACAGAACAATATCGTTCATTCCACCAGACGGTGAGTTTGAGTTGATGTCGTACCGGTTGAATAAAACAAAATTTCCAATCTTGGTTGAGTCTGTGATTGAGAGACATGCACATAGTAGAGTAGAGTACATAATAAAGGCATCATCTCAATGTAAGTTTAATGTAAGAGCTAAAAATGTGAAGATTGTTGTACCAGTTCCAAGTGATGCAGATTCACCAGTATTCAAGACAACCACGGGAAGGGTCGAATATCGCCCAGAGGAGAATGTTATGTTGTGGTACATCAAAGAGTTTCCTGGAAAAAAAGAGTACGTCATGAGAGCCCACTTTAGTTTGCCATCTGTTATAGGCGAAAATGTTGTGGATAAGCCTCCCATCAACGTCAAGTTTGAAATACCAAACTTTACTGCATCAAATATCCATGTAAGGTACTTGAAGGTTATGGAAAAGAGCGGATACAAAGCTAAACTTTGGTTGAGATACATCTCAAAGAATGGCGACTATCAGTTTAGAACAAATTGATTTACAAACTGAGAAAATTTTATTCTTCATGATACATTCGACATTTTATCAAGAAAATGACTTAGTTGAATGTACCGCTTATTATATAATGTAGGCATTTATCTATTGATTATAAATCATTAATAAGTAGTCATTAGTACTTATATATGTATGTACCTAAATATATTGTAAAGTATGTATATTGTTATTAAATGATATAGAAAAATGACAACGTAAAGAATGAATAAAATATATGTGTGACAATCGTTTTTCTGATCGAAATGATAATACCCTTTGTTAGAGTCTAACAATACAGTATTGTATAACCATTCTTATGAAAAATTTTTTTACTATTTTTGTTGCTGTGGAGCCGAATAAATAAGTTAAAAAGAAATCTCTATCGAAAAAATTTTTTCTTCACGGCTCAAAAAAAGAAATTAGTGAATACAGCAGCTATTCGCTTTCACCCCTCCTATTCTTTTGTAGCTTCTTTTTCGACAAGATACAGCGCCTGCTCCTATGTATACATACATTCACCTGATCATGACTCATGACACGCGTATACCCATTTTCTAGAGACAATGCAAAGAATTAAGTGTCTTCAACTAATCCTATATTATTTGTGTTCCTCCTACTCTTTACGTTCTTTATTCTACGACTGTACTCGAGTTAGTTCCGTTAGTGGCCATTATCTTGAAGTAGGCGTTGAACAAAACACACACATATAATATTAAATCGAAACTCGAATCCAAGAAAATTGCTAGGGGCATTGTGGACATTTTAATATGAGAATATTGTGTGAGGGGATATTTATTTGACTACAATTGTATTTATCTACACGTAGCTAATATACGATCAAAGAAAAATTATATGCGTTGCTTAACTTCGAAAAAACGTGCGATACTTATTATCTGTATCGTGATGTAATCGATATTTTTTGTATTTGTAAAAAGTATTTTTATGCTAAATATTTGGCAATACACGTTCAATGTTAGAATTATGTGAACTAATTTAAGGTCCCATGGTGCATTATTAGGAAAGTTACGTTATGAAACACCGATTTTGGGCACTTTCCGAGGGTGCCATTGGTCATTTTTGCAGCGAACTTCGCAAATAGTATTTTCCTCACTTTCTCTTTTCCGACGAATCCCACAGGGTTTTCCGCAGGTCTGGCTCAGCGTAGCGCTTTGAGCTCGTCATCAAGGCGCGTCACACAAATTAGAGGAAATAATGCCACACCCGGAAGAGGTGGAAATCGATACGCATCGAGCCTGACTTATAGCCCATATATACAGTGGGTAATACGGGTAGAAGCGTGGCTTGACAAATGAGCTTGGGTGTGAAATTCAGTCGCCTCTACTCTACACGTATTCATACCTATACGTATAAATAATAGCCGTTCATATAGGTGCATTGGAAACAGACTGCACGAAGGAGTCGAGAGGACGCCTCGTTGTCGCTTTTGTCATTTGATCGCCATCGGCCTTTAAAGTATATGGTTTCAGCCTTTAAGGGGTCTGGACAACGTTTTGCCATGTAATTTTATGCGTAAGTATAGCTCTTTTGGTACGTGATCAAATTGTAAGAGGGACAAGTTGAAATCAGAGGGGACATGGAAATGGTAAATGGTAAAAATGGGAAAAAAGAAAGAACAAGCTGAATGAGGAAAAACGTCGAGGCCAAAAGTGGACTTTCGAGTGTAGTGTAACTGTTTGGGCGATGAAACAAAATACGATGGTTAATTTCATTAACTGAGAACATTATTCATCCGATTATCGGAGTAGTCGATTGATTATGTTTCGTAAACTCGGTGAATAATGACCGGCACGAGAAAATCCAA